GGATATTATACAAGAACGCTTAGGATTTGGGATTGTTTTGATTTATTTTTTTTTTTTCTCGAATTATTATTTGGCTCGCGTATTTTAGATTTTCCGATATTTAATCTTGACGAATAAAAAATATATGAGATTGATACGTAATTAAGAATGATTTTATAATTTGGTCGTATCCATCTACGGATATTTATGCATTCTCCCAAATCGCTCATATCTAAAAATCTCGGAGAAAATAGAATCTCTAGATTTTCCGATTGGCTCTGAAATCTCCGAGATTTTAGAGCCTCTAGAAAATCTAAAAGAAATATGTTAAAGGAGATCCGGAAAAAATAGATCGCGTACGAATCGCTAATCAGAATTGACCCGAGACCTATAATAAAGAAAATATTTTAAGAGCATCTATAACGAGAAACCAGATGAATAAATAACATATAAAATTTCATGTGAAATTCAATATACAATTATTTTATATAGCCGCGCGTCATAGAAATAATCAAAATATAAATGCTGAAAGATTTTTAGCGTCTGTTTCGGATATATTCTCTCGTGGCGTATAGAATCAAAGCAAGAGAAAATTTTCGAAATCTCGAGAGATCTTTGCTCGCATGAATTTGTATGCAACCCAATCTTTTCGTCTCATTTATCTCTAATCATCTCATTTATCTCTAATAAATCCTTCTCTATATGTCGATTCAGACGATCACCGTATGCAATCCAATCTTTTCGTCTCATTTATTTCTAATAGATGCTCTACGTAACGATTCAGAGGAATATATAAATCTTCATAAATTCATATAATCAAGCTATAAATTCAGAAAGATTTAAATATATATAGAAGATCGTTATCGAATCAAGAGTCAAAAGTTACGCCCCCAATATTCTCCGAGATCCTCGAAATCTCGAATATATTAATTTTCTAATTTTTCTAAAAAGTTCTAAAATCTACGAGATTTTATAGCCTCTAGAAATCCGTAAGAGCAAATGAATCTAAAAAATTAGGCAGCCCGCGAGCGAAGTAGCCGCATCACGCCGTACTATTGAGCTATATCATTTCGATCCAAGTAAATATATCTAGAAATTTCTCAGATGAATCTGAGAATAGAAATCTTTCAGAATATTCATATTCATCGAAAAAAATAGATAATTTTTCCGTTATTGCGTTGCCGCGTGCTCTTCTGTTCCGCGACAAAAATTTCTGGTCTTCAGTACGATCCGTCTAAAACCCGAGTTGTTCAAAAAGGAATTTCTGCAAGAGTTTGAACGTTTCCGCGAAGCTTCCGCGAGCTGCGGCGCACGCAACCATTTCTCGTTGTTGCCAGCTGCTTTCCGAAGTTATTTCCCTGCCTAACTAACTTTCCTGCTATTTCTTAATTGCTCAGTTTAACATCTGACATGAAATATTCTACGAAGTTATGGCAAGTCAAGTCAAGCTCTCCACTTCGGAGTATTTTGGCCTCCAAAGACCTCAAAGTGGTCTCGCATCGGCTTCGGACGTAAGTGAGCTACCCCTGAGGACCTTGGAAAACCAGACCCGCAAAATCCTGCTCGCTGCCTTCGGCGAGGAGTGCAGAATGATTCAAGCCAGGTTGGCAGCGCTAGTGGCAGATTCGGGCCATTCCAACTTGGATTTGTTGTCGGCTACAGATTGAGACTGAGCAACGTTGATGCTATGGCTCCGGATTACCACTGCTAAAAGATCTATCTCGGAGGGATGTGGGACGGCAAATTGTGTTCTAGGAACACAAAAGACTGAAAGCCCTCATGCGAGACCATGAAGAATACTAATGACCGTGTATGTTGCATGTCTGCATGTTGTTCACAGAAACTTGACAAAAAAAATGCAGAAACAATGACATCACATTGCTGTAGCACCTTCGCCCACAGGCCTCAAAGTCCGGCTTGTTCACTAGACATGTCAGCTATTCCTCCGAATTGTTCTCGTCACACGTCAGCAGTGGCTTCTTTGAAGCCGCCAGCTCCCCGTGTTCGGTAGAACCTGACTTTATACTGCTCCGGTTTTTTCACCAACTCGGGCAAACAAAGTAACAAGAACGGTGTTGCTTACGCTCCAAGCAACGTGTTTGCAATAATTGGTTTCTTTCCAAACGAAGGTGGACGCAGCTCGGACGGATTCATTCTCAAGCCTGGGTCAAGCGCGGTGCTAACTTCAGGCTGCGACTGTCCCACACACTTCAGTAGTTGGCACGCAAATGTTGAAGCACAGCAAAGATCCACAGATGCATGCTCAGCAGCTCAGGCTCATGACTTGGGCTTCTGTTTGCGGTTGCCCGTATCTTTCTGCGATGCCATATCGCGCACGTCTACGCAAATACTCTTTACCTGAAGAGCACATGTCCACCCTTCGCAAGCAGATGAAAAAATGCCAAGCTAGAGCTCATTTCACTCACATAAGCTCAGCGCGGCCGTGGCCATCAGCACTGACACCCCTGTAGAGAAGTTCCCTAGTGCACGGTCGATCGGTTTCCTCGGCAGACAAAGAGCAACCATCTGCGGAGTCTCACGCAGGACAGCACAAGCCTTATAGGAGAGGCAAGGTGCCGCCTGCATGTGCAGCTTCTCTTCCTTAGTTGTGCTGCAGAATAATCGCTAGCCTTTGCAGCTAGGACTTTCCGTTCCTGAAACGGTTCCTGCACAATCTCAGCAAGCTCCAATCACCGGCCAAGTGGCCAGGAATCCAATGGCGGCTGTCCTCCGCAGAGCCGTGGTCTTGGCTGGGCGTGTGGTCTGCCCGACCTGCGGGTGCACAAACTTGACAAATGTGTTTTGTATTACAAGCTCCCGATGCATACCAATGATTTCCATATCTGGCAGCTGTGACTTTTGACTTCTTTCTGCTGCAAAGGTGCTCTCGGTGATGCAAGCGGCTCTCGATTGGAGAAAGTTCTTGGAAGAAATGCTTGTCAGAAAGCTGACTTCCCCAACGATCCCCCAAAGTCTCAGCATCTGAGGGCTGGTCAGTCCTATCTGTCGCGGAGTAAGGGCTGCTGCGCCCGCACTGATGAAGGCCTCCTTTGACTGGCCATCCTTTGGAGCATCCTGCAGCATGGCACACAGTGACAGAACTCCAGCAACCAATACCTTCCCAATCGAATGCGTCTGAGCTTCGGCTGACATGCTCTTAGAGTGTCACCGCAAGGACCATGGACAACTTCCTCACACTTGCTTCTGCATGTCATGAGACAAAAGGAATGACTCGGCAATAATCGCTGCATACTCAATGCATCAATGGCAAACAGCAGCCAAGCTAAGAAAAGATCCCAGAAGGCCACGCGTGGTTCTGGGAGAAGCCAAATGAGCTGCAGCATTGACACTCACATGCAAGGAGTCTGAGCCGAGGCAAAGATACTTGCAGCAGAACTCGAACACATCGCAACACGCCATTTCTTGACGGTACAAGGCCACGGATTAGCAATCGCAGGCTGGCAGGTAACGTGCTTCTCCCTGGCCAGCCGTGGCGAATAACACAAATCATTATTGCATGCATGCAGCTCAAAGGCTGGCGGGGTTCCTGTTCATGCTTCTTTCGCTGCTACTGCCTTAGAGCTGCTCAGCATTCAGGCGGTTGCATTAGACTGGGTGAAAACAGCACACCTAAGTCTGCGAAGGTCATACGACGAAAGATGTAGGCTTCCGGATTGTAGTGCAATAGCAAATGCACACAGCTACTAAAGCAACAATGCGAAGAATTCTACGATCAGCTCCTGCGACAGCTGTTTATGGAAGAGGCATAACTTATACTCTGCCCTGCCACGTATGGAAATGAACATCTGGGGGCTTTTCCACAAAGACGATTCAAGAATGCCCAAGGATTCATGTAATCCGTGTCCAACCCGCATGAAGCTACTAGGAGGCGGAAGGCGTTTGACGTTTCATCTAGCCGTGATCATAGATTCACGGACATGGATACACGAATGTAGCTACTAACATGGCAGAGGCGGGGTGTTGTTAGGGGTGGCATTGACACCGAAGGGTCACTCCAAATGGCATTCCAGACTTCAGGTGGCAGAGCTGCTGGGCGTCAGAGCGTGCCTGCCAAGAGACCACTTAAATGATAGTTTCCATTGTCTTTTCCATTATCCCTATATAATCCCAATATATACCATATTATAATATAGGAATTTCCACTTTCTCTTCCATTATCTCAATATGACCCCAATATAAGGAAACCAAGAACACTAGACAAGTTTCAGCAGGGACTCCTCACAAGAGCAAAAAGAGCTCTAAGTCACAACACGAGAAAAAAGTTGTGAGAATCATCGTGGCTTTGATAGTGCCGGTCATCGGAAGTGGAGGCCGCTGCACTGCTGAATATTTCCTGTGGATAATGAATGCACATGATCTAGGTGACAAACACAGCCAAATTTAGCTTGCTTCCCACGTTGCGCCTGAGCGCAGCATCTCAAATCCTTTGACCAAGTGTCCTGGCAAGCCCTGATGCGCTCCTGGCGTCGCAAGAGGCTTCTTATCGCAAGTCCCATCAAGCCCCTTATGTCTGAAGTGAGATCAACTCTTAAAGTAAATAGATATCAGAGAGAGAGAAATATATATATATATATTATACATTTGAAAAGCATGTCTCAATAATACTTGAACGTATCAGTATGTTCTCATACGCTGTTGCTGGTGGAGTTGCCCCCCAAACCCGTTGTTCTTATCGTTGACCCTGCCGTGAGGACCCTTCAAGCTTCAAGCCTCTCCTGGCCTTTGGTTAGCTGGGCCTGGAGGAATGGAAACGAAAATGGAAACTACCATTTAGGGTTTAGGCCTTAGGTTTTAGGGTTTAGGGTTTAGGCTTTAGGATTTAGGATTTAGGGTTTAGGGTTTAGAAGGAATGGAAAAGAAAATGGAAAGTGCTATAATGAATTACTATGTATAGGGACTACTATAAGGATCCATAGCTAACCGAAGGCCAGGCTTTTGAAGCCTGTGACCTAGATGAGATAAGTCTACTATATTGGGATCCCCCTTATTTTGGGAAACTACCGGACAATCCGTATATACACCTAGATACAGTAGCTTCGATTTCATTTTCGATTTACTGTTCCATTTGATTCTCCATTATTGAAGTAACAAACCCTAAACCAAAACCCTATACCCTAAACCCTAAACCCTACCCTAAACTCTACCCTAAACCCCTATAGGGAAACTACCAATTCCGTTGCCTGGCTCCTGGCGGCGACTGGGCCCTGATGGCGGCACCCTCAGAGCAAAGGCTGTGTCTCCCACGTCAGAACGTGACATTGATGACCACATCTGTCACTCTCTTAGCTAGGAATGAAGGAATGAAGGAATGGATCCTTATAGTAGTCCCTATTAAACCCATTATATTAATTTCCATTTCTTTTCCATTCCTTCATTCCCAGCTAACCAAAGGCCAGTTCTAGGGTCCCTGCAGCACAGGCCGCCCCCGCAGGAACGGCCTTGCCAAGCCCGCTCTGCAGAGCTAGACTTGGGCTATTACACGTTCTATTTGAAAGGGACTGTTTTGCACTTAACCAGGACACGACCAGGGACCGTCAAAGTCGCTAGCAACCAATGTCTACAACATCTACGAGTCTGTTGGCCCAAGGTCCCACAACATTGGATCCCAACCATGACAAGCAAGAACAACATGCTCTCTTCCACTAGGTCTCTATACTCTGCAACTCCGATCGTAAAGGCTTCGACCTGAAAACTGAAGCAAGAAGGAATGCTATTGCATAGCTTGGTCAAGGAAGAATTCCACAATGATGGCCATCACTGTGCCAGGGGCAACCAAGGCTGATGCCTGATGTCCCACTGGACTACTCACAGCCTCGCATGTTGAGGTTCGAACTGGAAAGTATGAATAGAAGATACGAGCCTCGACCTCGAAAACTCTGCCTACGCCCCCTTCTGCAAGGCCAGAACCGCCGGCTTCCAAACTTCGACACAGAAATCAAAAGCGTTTTCTACCCCAAACCATCACCCTTTGCTGCCAGGGAGCAAAAACGTTGTGAGCACCAGTCTGCTCCATTTGTGGGGCGCCAGGAGCCTTAGTTCGAGTGACATGCTCTCAGAGTCTATGCTCGGAGTCGATCCAGTATTTGCACGACAGTTGGCGTACAGTCGTCATCATCAACAGCGACGTCACCATTCATCGTGATTCTAACCATCACTTTAATTTATAATCTTACTATGCCTCGTGCATCGCGCACTGCATATACATCTGTATATCCTTATATGTATACAGGCATATTATATACATACATATGATATACATATGGAATGTACATATGTACGTACATTGTATCGATGCTGAAGGAGTAGTGTCACGCTGACAGTCTTGGGGCCGAACCTGTCCCAGCTTTCCCTGCCCAGATCACACAGATTTCAATTTCCTTCAATGAGACTCGGGCACGTGCCAAAATTAGAGTCTCTCTAATCTTTCGATGCCATAAGATCCGGTAGTGCTTAAACGAAATGGATGGTATGTTTAATTGGGAAAGACGAAAATGCTACTAAGCGGCCTTGCAAACAAACACAAAATTGCGCGTGCCCTTTCTCGAGTCCTAGTATGGAACTCGATTGTGGCACGTACTCAGGCGCAATCGGAAATAGCTAGCATCGCGCCTGAACTTCCCAAACAGAGCTTTGCAGCCGCTGGTGGTTGACATTCATGACCTCCCAGCCGATACAGAAGTAGCGATTATCATCTTGACACTGGCGAGCACAATACTAGCAACTTGCATGATCAGTATTCAAAGAGAGCTTCACCAAGGCCACAACAACCAAAGTGAGTTCTTGATGGCGGGGTACGATTGGAGGCAAAGCAGAGATCACGAAACATAGTCGCCAGAACGGCAGCTGTCACTTCTTCCTTTCTTGTGCTGTTCTGGAACCACCAAATGTGAGACACACGGATTTCTCAAACTGGAAAAATCAAAACTCACACTTTGAAACGAACGAATGCGAGCTAAACAAGGGCAAAAACTTTGGAAACATCTGTGCTATTATGTGCTATTCATTCTGGTTGTGCACTGGCTTAGACTTGGCTTTTCTGTAGGCAGGGATCGCAAAGGGCATCATACGTGCCGAACAACAGCTTTCTGCATTTTCGATCGGGATCAGGAAGTGGGCAATGTCAGACACCTATCAAGGAGCTCTGAAAACTGAGGAAGCCCCACGAATCAGCTCATGTGTAGCGGATCATTCTGTGATGAACTAGATCCAAGGAACACAAGAAACAACCACATATCGGATCACAGGGGGAAGTATCGGATCACCTGGCTGGATCCCCTGCGCAGACATTTGCAGCAGGAATCGGATCAGGAAAGTAGGATCAGGCGAACCATATGTTGCCCAAGCATCTACAAAACCACCTATATGCGAGTGCAAGCACCAGAGAAGCAGAGAAGCGCATCCATTCCTTTTTTTCCACTGCGCACTGAGAAGGAGTTTTGCTGTCAGCTCTCTATCGGGATAGCTTTGGGACCCACTGGACGGTGTGATGACAAGGCTGCAAGAGCACAATGCTCAAGAATTAAAGCCTGGCGCACAATGCACCGTACACACTCACCCAGAAATCC